TATTGGGTTGGAGGCCATTGCTATTAGGTTGGAGGCCATTGCTATTAGGGTGGAGGCCATTGCTATTAGGTTGCAGGCCATTGCTATTAGGTTGGAGGTCATTTCTATTGACTATTAACGTATACTTGTGACTTGTCCATCTATTTTGGAGTCTATGCCCCTGGCCGTCCAGGAGGCTTTGCGTCTAGGTTCGGTGCTAATCACCAGGTGCGTTCCTCACCAGGTCTTCAACACAGCAGGGTTTTCCTCACCGGAGCCTTCCAAGACCATTCAGCAAAAACATCCAAACATGGTTGACCTGGTTTATCCTTATAGTAACTTACTACAGTAGTTGTTTGGTAAAGCAATGTAAAGCCCATTAATTTAAATGGTGCTTGGAATTTGGGGGTCAAACGAACCCGGGCTTCACGTTCTTTCTTCCTCGAGCTCCGAGCATTGAATGTGGACGATTGCAACTTCTTACCTCGAAGCGTTCGAAGCGGAAGGCGACCCCCCTGGCGGGGTGGAGAGACCCTGTGGGGTCAAGAACTTCTGCATGGGAGAAGAACTTGAGCGAAGCTCCGAAACCAGGATGAACAGGAAATCTGAATCCGCGACAGTAACACAGTGTATCAAAAAGACAAGCAGGATTTCTCCGGTGGAAAACAGCACCAAGTCACCCCAGAAGGATGTGATTGGCACGGCCACCTGACAATGCCCTGATAATGATCCCAAGACCTCATAAGACACTTCTCTTCGCAGATTTTCTCTGGTAGCCACTCAACAACACAGCAGCACCAAAGGAAAAGGCTCCAAAAACATTCCAATACCACCTGGACCTGTCCAGGCTGACTTGGGAGCAAAACAGCCGCCCCAGCCGCCCACCGGGGCTCCCTCACAATCTGCATTGTCGCTCTCGGTCCCTTGCAGCTTGCCGTAACCTCGGTTTCGTGGGCGCTCAGCTGCCTCGTCCCGGCCGAACCGAACGGAGATCTCGACCGAACCGTGTGGATAGACATCAAGAGGAACTCATAGGACCCGGGCGTGTGGTGGATATTTGAGACATGACCATTTATGCATCGTTTTGCATCGTTTTGCTATACATCATGGAAAAGGGGCCTATGACTCAGAATGAACAAACACGTTGGACATATCCATCAAATCTGCAGGTCTTACAGCACTTCCAAGACGTGTTTTTGATTGTTTTTGTGATCCATGTGAATAATATGTCCTCCATCGTCAAGCTTCACATTGATACCACCCCTCATGTTGTCAATCTGCTCAAACGGATCAAAATGCTTGGATGTCCTCCTTCTGCAAATCACCGCAGCAATGCCGCGTGACATCCACCGAACCGTCAGAGGCGGACCCTCCAGTTGCGACAAATCAAACAATGACGACAACCCTCCCATCTCAATGTCCAGTCCTCTATATACCCAAATTAAAGCTGTATGTATTCGTACCATATACACGGTCACGTGAATTATGGTCATGTGATTCTACATCATCAACTACTTGTATGTTCTCATGAGCTGGTATGCAAAAAAAAGAAAACCGCGAGAGAAAACCACGAACAAACCAAGCTCATGTCAAGCTCCAAACAGGTCCTTTCGATCTCCCCAAGGCTCCCATCTTCCCATCTTCATCCGTGTCGCCAATCTCCCGGAGTTGTGGATCCAACGTCCGGGCCGGCCGCCGGCCGGAACCGCGGGCCGCGGCTGCCTGGGAGAAGTGAACACCGGCCGCCCGGTCCCATCCATGTCAAACGCAAAAAGGAACCATGTTCCATGGAGTGTTTGGGAGAGGTCAAACACTGTACTTCACGAATTTCAGGGTCATTTTCCTTGCGTCTTTTTTTCTGGCTGTTAGATTGGTTACGCCTCTGTACAAAATGAAGACAAAGGGTCAACGGAGGATTCGGAAACTAGAACCGCGGATTCGGAAACTAGGATTCGGACACTAGAAGTGAAATACGAAAATGTCCATTAGATCCCCACCCCCCCCCCCCACCCCCCAGTTTCTGAATCGGCTAGTTTCTGAATCGGGTGAGTTTCTGAATCGGGACACTCTGTAGTTTCAGAATCGCAAGTTTCTGAATCGTAGTTTCTGAATCGGAGCTAGTTTCTGAATCGTCTTCTGTTCGAAGACAAAGGGAGTGAGTTCGTGCGCACGGCTGAGTCTTCAACGTTGAACGCTGGTCCCGTTTCGCACCATATGCCCCAGCATGCCCCAGCACGGGACGAAAAACCATGGAACAGTTAATCATAGCCCTGGAAGTCCAAGGTCCTACTTTGTAGGGTCCTCGGATTTGTTGAGAAAAGAGGTCCTAAAAAGAACATCGGCGATAATCTTCCATTCAAGGTCGGAGGTCCTAAAAAGAGCATCGGCGAGGGGGCTATTTGATGGCCCCTCACTGCTGGTGTTGGCTTGATTGAGGACATTTGGCATCGTGCAATTCCAGACCTTTATTCCCACCAATCAAAAAAATAAACACCCTCACTATTTGCTGTCTGCTCATAGCTAGCGTGAGCAAACGTGAGCAAGCGTGAGCAAAGGTGCCGAAAAGTACCTCGGAGGTCCTCTAAGGCACAAAACAACCTCAACAGGAAAACAACATCCCCCAGCAAAACGTGAGCAATCGTGAGCATTGGCATGGCATCCTACACACTTTTGTGCGCAATTTCTATATGAATCTGAATGAGGGGACGTTTTTCAAGATTGCTCACGACCAGGGTTGTGATTAAGTTAATTGTGGACCAAGGTTTCACAGGATCCATCCCCTTTGCTGGGTTTCCTCGGATTCCTCGGCGGTGAAACCCCAGCAACTTCTATGGTTTCTCGGACATCGGCCTTTTAAGGACCTCCTCGGTGGAGGTCCTACTTTTAAGGGTCCATGGACTCTGAGGGTAGTGTAAGTAATCATGTTCGACCCCTTCCGTTGGAAGCTCGTTTTATATACGACCCGGCACCCAGTATCTTGTTTCGCGTTTGTATCATGTTGAGTGGAAGGTTCTCTTGCTGACAACACCACCGGGACCCAACCTTACAAATCTAGCGAACATATGCAATCGGCAAACCACGCAACAACCGCCTAAAGTAACTCAACCTTCAACATGCCCAAACTGCATGGTCACGTTTGCACATATCAAGAGATGAAATGAAGAACAACCTCATAAGGTCATGAGACAAAGTCCAATCAATTGTTAGGAACACGCTCAGATAAGTTAAACCTATATAAAATCTATAAGTAAGGTCCAACTTAACTCGACACCCCAGTAGAAATCACGACGGGCACACGAATCCAAACTCAACAAAACACCTCACAATATCGGGATATTCAACCTGCACAGTCAAAGCTCCTGCCATCTGGCGGGAGATTCCGCTGAGCTGGAGATATGTAGGAGATTACGCCAAGAGAAGAGACTTCCTGAACATGCAGGAACGGTCGGCATGCGGAGGAACGGTCGGCATGCGTGTCCGTGCTAAACTGCTTCAAGCCTGCACAATGCCACAAGAACAGGCCACGAACTGCGACAGAAATCCGTCAAAGAACAAGCTAGGAAAGCGGGAACAGCGACTTCATGAACCACACATCCCAATATAAGACACCTCTCCCTTCTTATGGAGCGAGACAAAATCCTATAGATACCTCTCCGACCTCTCCCAAGACAGCCGACAGCCTCACAAAAGAAAACAGATCTTGCCCTTCACAAAGACATGGCTGTGAGTCCAAACCCTGGTAGGTTGAGCATGTCAGGGGGCCTCTGTTCATGCTCGGTGGGAAAAAACGAAGGTCTTCTGTTTTTGACCCAGCTCGCCACAGAGCTCGGAACTCAAAAAGCCGAAGCAAACGAAGCAAACGAAGAAACGTAATCCTGCCACAGGTCAGGCCTGGTCTGGCTACACGGCCAGGTCGATTTAAGTGATGGGTTGGGAAGTTCTATACTACACACTTCTCATCACTTTGGTAGGTGTAACACTGGTATAACTGGAAGGATTGTTTTTCATATCTCATCAAACCAGGAGACAGTTCTTGATAGTTCTTGTAGTTATTTTGCTTCCTTAGGATGGTCCGCTGTGGCTCCATGCAGCCAGTCGCCGCGCCGCTCCGTCAACTGCTCGCCGAGGTGCGGCAATGATGTCAGCCGTGCGTGAGGCTCTGAGCAGGTCCTGCCGACATGGCGTGTGTGAACATGAGGGGATTGAGAGTGGGGATTGAGGTACTTGACAGACCTTGTTGGCATTCAGCTGAGTATGATTTTTAACCTCGTTGATTTGGACCACGGGCAAGCCGACCGCTGGGTCGAAAGTAATATCAAATGATCGACATATTGATCGGTGGTTTTGGGAATATTTTGCAGCGGTGAAAAAAGGGAACCACCAAAAGATAGTTAACATATGCTAAAAGGATGGTAACAATAGTTGTGAGTTGTGACCTGGTACATCCCCAGGTCAACCCTGAGAAGTAAAGGTACGAGAAACTTTCATCATCTTTATAACATTCATCTTCTTTTCATCCACACCACCCTACAGTAAGACCTAGTCCAGTAGCTGACTTGTAAACTCCACGTAAACGTCCAAAAGAAATCAAAAGAACCTCTTCTTTTCACCCACCAAGAGGAGGTCGACCACCAAGAATCACACCTTGAGACCACGCCCACCACCCCCCGACGTCTGTCCGAGGAGACGACTGCGTCGAGCGTGGGCAGAATGCCCAGCTTCGAGAGAGCCAAAGCGGCAGCCTTGGAGCAACAACCCGACGAGCACGGAAGAAATCCATTGTTCCCTAAGAATCCGGGCCCTCAAACAGATAGGGTTTTGAGGGTCCGGACCCCTGCTATGGAGGGTCCGACCCCTGCCATGGAGAGCCCAAGGATTCTTAGGGTTGGTGTGTTTTTGGTTTTTACTTCGAAAAAGAAATACGGGTGTTCCAGTTCTGGGTGTTCTTGTCCCAAAGACGACTATATAATGGGACTGGCATATTTACCGCCCCATCGGGGTGGTTGAAAAGGGGTCAATGTATGTCAATATGCCAGTCCCATGGAGTGTCTGGGCATTGCGTGTTTGTTTTTGGATGTTTTTGGGTAACACGCGTTCCGCTCGCAATGCTCGAACTCTGGAACCTCCAAATGTATGTCGGTTCAAATGATGGAAGTTGGTCGAGATGGTATGAACTTGAATGGTTCTTGAGGGCGAACATCTAGATGATTGATGATTACCTGGTCATACCTGATCCAAATTTTGTCTCCAACCCCGATGCCCTGCGCAGGACCTTCAGCCGAAGGTGGCCGTATACTGGTTTCCCGAAGGCACAGGAGGCCCTACTTCTCTCCAATCCAGTTTGCCAGGATGTTGATGCGTGGAGCATCGTGGAGCATCGTGGAGCACCCTGCCCAAATACGACAGGCCTATCTTGAACACCGCACCTCCGCCTGCTTCATGCCATTGTCATTGATATCAATGTCGAGCCTGAGATTCTGGAGGCTCTTGAAGGGGCGTTTCGGTCAGTGCGTTGTGGGCGAAGAATCCCAGCAAAGAGGCAGAACACATCAGCCATGTTGCAAACATACTTTCATGATGCATGGATTATTGTTACGACATGTTATGACTGTGATTGGTTGGGTGTCATCAATCATGATTCATCAATCATTGCTTTCATGAGACATGAATCACTACTTTTGCGTGTTTGGGCAGATTCGTGACGGATTCACGAAACTCCTGAGTGGGGGTTGAGCGTTTCTTGCTTCCCCCTTGGTGGAGTTGGTCCACATCTGTGACCTCACATCGGTCCCATGTTCAAAGCCCGCAAGGTCCAGGTGTTGCTTGTTACTGACCTGCAAACGGACCTGCAAACGGCCATGTGCATGTCGCCGGGTCGACTCAAATGCCTACTATTGGAATCAAGGTGCTCCCGCCTTTTGGTTCGTTTCGGGAACGCCACATCCAACGCCCTTGTCGCAGAGAGCGACCTGGTGTGTGTGCCAAGCAACTGCCCTTGGATGCGCCGCTCTGCATTCCAAACCTCAGCAGCTCTTGTGGCGTACCCCGATAACACTTCTAAAAGGACAAGGGCATCACTGTCAGTAGTGCCAATCCACCAAACCACCGAACCGTCCTGGACCGAAAGAACTGAATTGGATTGAACTGGTAAGGCCAGTTAAAATGATACCCATGTTCATGACCAAATCGGAGATCTTGGGACCTGTTTCCAGCCTCGGACGAATGTAGTAACGCCACCAGCACGTCGGCACGTCGGACATTTCGCTTAGTGAGAGTCTGTCAGTCTGTCATGATCCAGGTTCCCAAACACCAATCCATCCCAATTACCTGATGGAGTCCCGACTTCCCAACCCACCCAGGAAAAACGTCATCGCGTCCGACCAATCCATGCGTTCTTTTCAGAACGTCCATGGGACCAATCCGGAGCGACCGGACCCGGGGGTTTTCCCACCATCCGCCAGGGCCGCCAGGTCACTGTCTCACCATGCCTCCGGGCACATCGGCCATCCGTCGTGAGGCAGACCGTCACACGCAGACACTCCATGGGACTGGCATATTACAGACGTACATTGACCCGTAAAACCACCCCAATGTAGGTATATATGCCATACATGGAGTGTTTGGGACAAGAACACCCAGAACTGGGACACCGGCTTTCTGGGCGAAGTCGGGGCTTCCTGCTGGACTTTTGGAGGAAGTCTCGGTACGAGGTTTTGCTCGTTTTTGGAGAGGACATGACATGAAGGAGATTTCCTGGTCTGACCGGTGGAGCACCATCCAAAGACAAAAAAACCAGCCATGGCAGTGGTGGATAACATGCATTCATGTCCACCTTGAGGAAGCTACCCAAGCTACTCTCTCTTTCTCATTGAGCACCATCCTGAACAATGGCCTCCTCTAGGCAACTACAAAACAATTGGTCCATCCGCCATGTGAGTGATCGCATACTACACTTTTGAAAGAATCTTGGAGAGTATATATATATATATATTGTGGACATTCTATATCTCTAAGATCCTACTTTGATAGCCTTCCGGTGGGTGTCTCAGCTGTTTGAGCTCAAGGGTTGGTCATTTAATAGTAGTAGTATCTGGCATCTGGATGTACCCCACTTTTGTCTTCCAAGTGTCCACTTCGCCTGATCCAACAAGTTACCAGGGGTTGGGTTTGTTGCCTCTCCATCCTGATCCTCTCATTCCCAACGATCCCAACGGAGCCACTCCGGTCCCCGCTGTTTGCTCGCCTGATGAGGTAGAGCCTGACCGGCCACTGTGGCCACGGTGGCGACGGGTCGCATGGACGTGACGTGTCAACTCGCTTGACAAACAGCGAGCGGACCTGGACATCGATTCACTTGACCATCTGAAGCGCTTGGTGGAATACCAGCACGTGATGCATCAGCCCTGGCCCTGAGGTCCAAACTGCATCTCCTCGATGTTACGTCTCACTTTAGAGATAGAGAGGGAGAGTGAGAGTGAGACCAGGTATATAAGCACGTTATGCAGGCTGTAAGAGCCCCCTGTCCTGCTCAGCCGCTTCCCACGAGAGCCACAGCAAAACTGTGAGGCAGAGGCCAAACAGCTTGACATGGCCAATCAGCGCGGAATTGTTTAGCAGTCTCAGCTCCTACTTATGTTCCCAACACGACCTTACTCAATGGCAGACTTTTCATGCAGTGTCTGGAAAGTGGTTCTTGGCCAAAGGTGCAAAAAAGTCAGCAATAAGTTGTTTCAAACGCAGTGGGGACGAGATCGGAGGATATCTTTGTGGAGTTGCTGTTGTTCTGTCGGGCCTGCAATAGCTGAGGGGTGCAGCACAGGGCAAACCTGGAACACATATTGTCGTATGAACACACATCCTTGGAAAACGGTCTATTGGCCACTACCTGGACCGCTTGCATTGCCGTGTATATACAGTAATTAATCTTCTGAGCTGTATCTGACCGCGGAGGAGCAAAACCACGACTTGTTGAATGGCAAAACAACATCAACCATTCTATGTGAATGTGGATCCTGAGCCAGCTTTTGGCAACTGCCTTTTGGGCTGTGCAACAAGTCAGGTGGTAACGGTAACGGTATTTTGATTGTTATGCACCAACCATGTAGCAACAAGAACCAAAACAGTGGATTCGACCGAAACATTGCCCTGGCTCCCCTAATGGGGCATGAAGGTTTCTTTGTCAGAGTCAATACCGACATCTTGAGGGAACTTAGCTTCTTTCATCTGATCACTCACATTGATTGATATGGTTGACGGATCCAAATTTTGCACCAATTCAGCTGGTATATAGATCCTGGAGATAGACAAGCACCCAAACGCTTCTGTGTAAGAAACGCTCAAAAACTCCTTCCCCAAAAGCACTTCCACAACACAATGACCAGTCGGTGGTGGTATCCAAACAGCCGACATTGCCATCCCATACCCCATCATCACCCCCTCCAAGATCCCCTGATCTCCCCTTAAAGGCAGGTACTGAGTCTTAATTGAAAAAGGCCTGTGCCCATCCCCTTGAGGTCTCAGCTGGCTAACTTGCTCATGAGTCGCATTTCGGGCTCATCGGGCCTCACCACAAGGACACGGCTGAAACAGGAGGGTCGACAAAAAAGGCTGAAACGGTGTGTTTGTTATGGATTTGTATTATCTCTTCCCATATGTATGAAATCAATTATCACATATATCAATGATATTGATGATATTGATTGTATAGTCAAAATCAATGCAGCTCAATGGATATATATATATATATTAGTAATATATATACATACACTGATCAAGGGGGATACGTGAGAGAGAGAGAGAGTGGTATCAATGAAACATCACCATGATCGGCATATGCTGTCCTCAAACGGTTCGACAAGAACAAGCACAGTGTGGAAAGGCGACCAGTAGTAGTAGTAGTAGTAGTAGTAGTAGTAGTAGTAGTAGTAGTAG